AGTCTTTCCCCTTCTCAAATCACCAATATCAGCCTATGGTTTACCTGAGTGATAAAACCACAGCACACAGTTGTACCCTGGAGAATCTTTATTCAGAATAGGCTCCCAAGACAGCATGATTCGAGACTGTGGCAATGAAAAAGCTGTGGCAGTAAACGGTGCCTGAGCTGGGCGAACCACATTAAGGATCAAAACAGTTAGGGATAGTTAGAAACTCAACCAATAGGTATCCATATGGTTGCTGAGTGGTAATGGTGAATAGAAATGGACATGAACCATTGATTCGGCTGTTTTGTGTCTGTTCGTTTTCTGGGCGAATTGGTGTTTAGGGGTTCCCAGCGCTGCTTCCTCGAGGGGGCACCCACCCAGAGGCAGCGGCCAGGCTTCCCTGCCTCGCCACCTCCCGGTGTTGCCTCTTGAGTGGGCGCCCGCTGGAGGAAACCGGGCTGGGAAGCGCCAAACCCTTGTTCGGCTGGTAAACGAACCGGCACGAACCGTCCAGCGAAACGTTCGCGCTCATCTCTAGCGTTGAGCACGTGAAAAATATAACTCAGACTTGACGCAAGGTATGTATTCAACGGGTTGGTTGAGATTTAAAACGAAGAATAACAGAGACCATCTGTTAACGAAGGAACATTAAATGAACATCGCTGCCACCGCTGAGAAAACAAAATAAATATTACAGGCAGATTTTTTTTTTAAAAAGGACAAGTAAAAAGGACATAAATGTTGTGGTCCTTTAAAGACATATTTTAACATGAGTTTTTGTACATAAAATCCACTTCCGCAGACATGAGAGAGAGAGAGCATGGCAGATTTTTGTACATTTATACATGGCATCAAAATACAGAGTCTGTTGGTGAGAAACCTGCAAAATGTGTGAGTCAATGTGGCTTTTTACAAGGGGATGATGTCTCTGTTGATATTCAGATCTACTGTATTCTATTGAAGCTTGTACAGTCCATGCAGTCGGTATCCAGGGATGATGTCTCTGTTGATATTCAGATCTGTTCTATTGAAGCTTGTACAGTAGGGTTCCCTTGTCCATGCAATCGGTATCCAGGGTTTTACTTATGTGTGGTCTTAAAATATTATTTAAAACGTTAAAAGAAAAAATTATAAATCTATATTTTTATGATGTATTTATCAAAACTGGCCAGCAGAGGAAGCCAGAGACCATGCTATATATTTTTGTTGTTGCAATACAGAGCATGGTTTCTGGCTCTTTCTAGTGGTCATTTCTGGTAATACAGTGGTGCCTCGCTTAACGATTGCCTCGTTAAACGACAAAACCGCTTCACAACGATGTTTTTGCAATCGCTTTTGCGATCGCAAAACGATGGTCTAAATTGTTCCTATGGGAAAATTCACTTAACGATGATCAGTTCCCTTCTTCAGGAACCGATTTTTTGCTAAACGATGATTTTGAAACAGCTGGTCGGCGGTTCTAAAATGACCACACACTATGCAAAATGGCTCCCCGCTGTGTTTTCAGGACAGATTCCCCACTTTACAGGCAGCGAAAATGGCCGCCCCTTTGGAGGATCTTCGCTGGACAGTGAGTTTTCAGCCCATTGGAACGCATTAAACCAATTTAAATGCATTTCAATGGGCTTTTTCATTTCACAAGACGATGTTTTCGTAAGACAGTGATTTTTGCGGAACGAATTAACATTGTCTTGCGAGGCACCACTGTACATGGTGAAAATTCTTTTTTCTGGATTTTTTTCCCTTTTGCCATGCTATGTTTAGTGTTCACTATTATTTGTGGTTTTCAGCATTCCCTGAGGGGGGTTGGAACCAATCTCCCACAGATACAGGGATCCTACTACTGTATGCTATAAAAGGATATATGAATCCCTGGCATAGGATAACAATAATAGAAACAACATGAATTTTGTTTGCAAGTTTCTAGCCAACCAACCAACCATGATCTCTTTATGTTGATGCTACATATACATGTATAAAAATCTGCCACTCTATATTACTCTCTTGTGTCCGAGGAAGTGGGGTTTTTTTCACAAATTAAATTAAATTATAGCAGTTGCTACATATACATGTATAAAAATCTGCCACGCTATATTTCTCTCTTGTGTCTGAGAAAGTGGTTTTTTTCACAAATTAAATTAAATTAAATTAAAATATAACAGTCTTTAATGTGCTACAATGTTTTTCTCCTTTTTATTTGTTCTTTATTTTTTTTCTTTTGTTGTTGCCTGTAATGCTTGCACAGATGTAACACAGCTATCTCTTACAAAAAAAATAAATAAATAAATATTGTCAGCCACATTTGTGAGTGCCAGATAGGGTTGTGATGTGGCTTTTATTGCATCATCGCCTGCTCCCTTTACAGATAACGGGAACAGACGGCGTCTGGATAACATCCTCTCTAGCTTTCAACTCTTGACTGTGCACAATAAAACCGAAGTTCTATTTCTGCAGTTCTGTGACTGAAGCCCATTATATTTAGTTCTGTCCTCTGGAACGAACGAAGAAAGGTTTTGTTCTCTTTTCGGCAACAATTCTGACTCTTTTCGGAGCTGGGAAAAGTTTGCCAAACTTGCATAGCAAGAACATTCTCATCTATTTAGCTCAATGTCAGAAATCCACAGTGGGTAACTTTTGTGTCTTTAACTGTGCAAACATTCGCAGGCAGGCACAAGCCCCGAAGCAACGGGATCCTGAACCTGATGCTGCCTGACACAAGAAAAGCAACAGGTGGTTCACGGGCATTCGTGCAAATGTGCGAGACTTGTCATTTGGGTGAACTACTGAATGGATGCCTATGGAAGCATCCAGCAGGACAGTGTTGTGTTTTTCCCCCCAAAGAAGCAAGGGCTCAAACCCCAACGGAAACCGTGTAGGTAAAGGTAAATGTTCCCCTTGACATTTTTAGTTCAGTCGGGTCCGACTCTACGGGGCAGTGCTCATCCCGTTTTTCAAGCCATAGAGCCAGCGCTTGTCCAAAGACAATTTCCGTTGTCACGTGGCCAGCGTGACTAGGGAGCGCCGTTTTACCTTCCCACCGAAGTGGTACCTATTTATCTACTTGCATTTACATGCTTTAGAACTGCTAGGTTGGCGAGGAGCTGGGACAAGCGACGGGCGCTCCCTCCGTCGCGTGGATTCGATCTTACAACTGCTGGTCTTCTGACCCTGCAGCACAGGCTTCTGCGGTTTAGCCAATAGTGTCACCACGCCCCGTTGTAGAGAACCATCCAAATTCTGAACTGCTCATAACTGTGCAAAATTAAGCCATTCTGACAGGCGCCTTCAGAAGGATACATCAAGACATCAACTAGGGGGGAAAGAGCTGACGTTTTGACCCTTTGACAGCATCTTTAGAAACAACGCACACCCCAGTACTGACATAGACCACAGCCCATCCTGAACCTGTTGTTTTGTGCACGGCTGACTCTTCCACATCTTACCTCACTATTTGTGTTTTCGAGTTTTGGTAACATCCCCTGTGCAATTCAGAATTGCCATTGATATCACCACCTCTCTTTCCAGGGCTGTAACTACATGGATGGTCAAATGCTCCGGAATTTGCTCTGGTTATAGAAGAAATGGATTCAAACACTTTTTAAAAAATGGATCACATGATGCAAAGGCTAAATTGAATCCAGTTTGGACCTTTTTGCTTCTGATGTCTGTTTTTTTTTCCTCTGTCACTGGGCAGCTACTACTTTTTGTCAAGCTGAAACAATTTGAAGACTTTTCTCCCTGGGTGATCACTTCTTTCCTTCTGCAAATGGACGGGGGGGGGGATGTCTGTGGGTGGTGTTGTGGTGATGCAGGCCATTGGGACATCATGTTTTATGAACTGTAGGAATCCCCACCTACATGATCCTGCCCCGAGTGTCCCTAAAAATTTTTTTTCATAAACAATGAGTCATTGCATTGATACACTAGTTTAGCGCTAGATCACCTCCACGCAGATCTTTTTTAAATGCTATAAAATAAAAACAGCCCTGATGAAATACAGAAGACTACATATATTTCACCGGTATGTTTCTATATTCCTGTGTACTTTGCGGAGAAGTTTAGAAAGCTGCTGCCTTTTCCCTGGTACTCTGCAACCCTTTAAAAACCAAGTGGCTTTATTGCAAACTACCAAATGACAGAGGGAGGGAGGGAGGGAGAAGGAAGGAAGGAAGGAAGGGGTGGCTGTAGACTGAAATGTGGATCATATTGAGCAGCCAGTATGGACATTGGTTTCAAATCCATCTGAGACCCCTGTATGATCACTAAAAGCGAATTGAACTGTAAGATAAGCTGCAAATCAAACCACTTGTCACTGTTGTTGCTCATGATAGCCTTTTAGGAAAGGTTCTACAGCATTTCGCTTTACCAGTGGAATTTCTGCTCCTGTTGGTCTCCTATTGTCTCTCTCTCTCTCTCTGTGTGTTTCCTTCCCTTATTTTGTTTTGTATTTGACAATAGAGATATAAACACTGGCTTGATAAGCTTTCGAGAAACGGCAACATTTTCTCCTTGCCTATGAGATGACAAGATCTTCAACTGTGGTTTCAACTAGAGCTTTCGCATGTGTGAGACTAATTTTGTTGGTGGTGTTGCACAACTCACCTGCTAACGGACAAGTTGCAGCCTCATTGCCTGGAATTTTAAAAACTCCCATCATCAGATTGGTTGCTTGTGTCTTTTTGATCAGCTGTCCTTTTGTGCTTGCTCTGTTTGTGTGTGTGTTTGTGTGTGTGCACGCACACACACGCTGTGCTTCACAACAGAAAAAAGCACTACTTTTGCACAAATTGCAGATAAACTTTAACGGGAAAAAGCATCTCTTGTCTCATTCTCGCACTGAAGGCAAGAATTCTTGTGGACCTTAATGAGCTCTTGGAAGTCCACCAAAAACGAGCAATTTAGTGACATTTCTTCCTGTCACCTTTGAGCGACGCTCATGACGTTGCACATATTTGGAGGTTTGTGGATACACCTACAGTAAATGATCACATCTTCCATTTTCTGTTCAGGGTCACAAAAAAGCAGGAAGCTACTGTTTACTCCTTCACCTAGATAAAAATATGTGATAGATCAGAAAACACAAACATACATTGTCTTCAGTTTTAATGGTGGTAGGTGGAATTTTCCCCCCAGAGGTATGCACTTTTGTTGTTTTCTGTTGTTCAAAGAAGAAAATGCTTGTGCTTGAAAGATTATATAGTTAGGGTGTCAATATAAAATGTGTGTGTGTGTGCGTGTGTATTGACCCAGGTGAATAAGACACGGATTTATAATAAGTGTGAAGTATAAAGCAACATACGATTTGCATTCATGTCCCCCTTTGCTTTTTCAGCCTGTTATTTAGCAAAATCAAGATTTGTGGTTGGTGTGCATCCTTCTCTCTCTCTCTCTCTTTCTGTCATGATTGTCAGCCAACATGGTGGAAGGTCACACAAAGATGAAGGAAAATGGAGGGCACACACAGTTCTCTTGTGAAGCCTCTTGCACCCAGGATCCCTGGCAGCCAGCGATAGAAGCTGCGGTCCAGAATGTTCTAGAGGTGGGGAAGGCAAAAAAAGAAATACAGTGGGTTACTTTTCCTGGTTCATCCCGTTACCTGAACATCCCAAGACAGGAAATGCATCTCCAGAGAAAAGGAAACTGCCAATCAAAACAGAGAGGACAGGATTCCCGTAGCTGAATGCTCTCAAGCACTGCTCTTGCAAGTTTCAGCTGAGTAGGAATCATCCCTCAACATTTAACTGCACTGGAAAATACTTCGCAATTCGCTCGAGAAAAAGTATTTTTCAACGACCACACGACGTAAAGGTCAATGCAAATCAGTCCGTCCTTTCCCCCTTCCAATCTGCCGCCAAAAGGCCTTGAGGACTTTTTTTTTTCTAAGAACCTTGATTTGAATGGTGTTTTGCCTGTGTGATCGTTTGCTTTTGTTCAACAAAAGGAGTGAGGGGGGCATGGCCTAGGGTGGTGTTCTGGCAACATAGTAAGTTGAAACACACTGTTTCGGGATAGAGCGATCTAGCGCTGGATCACTATATCACTCCATTGGTGCATTGGTTTAGCGCTAGATCATCTCTGCGCAGACAAAAAAAAAGAACAGATTAAAAACTGATATAAAATCAAAACAATTCCAACAAACTTCAGCAGATGACATTTCTCCCTTGAATTGCACAGGTTTGAACTGGTTTTAATTAGGCATGGACTTTTTTCAATAAATAAATAAATAAATATTCCAATAAATAAGCATTTCAATAGATAAATAAATGTTCAGCAAATACTGTGTTGCTAAATAGCCAGTCTAATGGCAGCAACACAGCTAGCATCCCTCTCCTGGCATGGCAGTTCCATGTGCTTGAATTGCACAGGTTTGAACTGGTTTTGATTAGGCATGGACTTTTTTCACAAAAAAAATCCAATACATAAATAAGCATTTCAATAGATAAATAAATGTTCAGCAAATACTGTGTTGCTAAATAGCCAGTCTAATGGCAGCAACACAGCTAGCATCCCTCTCCTGGCATTGTGGCCATTGATGAGGGTTCTGGGGCATGGTGTACACTTAGTATAGTAAACTCATCTGTTCTCTCTCTCTCTCTCTCTCCGTGTGTGTGTCTGTGTGTGTGTGTGTGTGTGCGCGTGTGCGCGCGCGCGCGCGCCTTAGTTAATCAACTATGCTTTGTAGTTATGTTTCAGGGGCCATAACACATGAATTTTGAAGGACACGGGGGTCCAATGCCGCTAACTCCAGCTTTGTTGAAGGAAGACGTGTACAAAGTTCCCATTGAGGCAAAATCCGGAGCTGGAGTCCCGAAGGCAGCATGTGTCATTCTGCCAACTCCTGCGACATTGCTGGAACCAGTTGTATTGGCTCTTCCCTTTCCATTGGACCATTTCAGCAATGTGGAGAGGGGGGATCTACTGCTTGGGTAACAGCCTATCCTCCATATTACCTTACCCGGGCTTCATGCTCTGGAGAGGACACTCCTCGATTCAGAGCATGTTACCATAGTCTCTCGAGACTGAAGGATGCCTATACATATAGAGAAAACTTTGGAAAACTGTCCCTTTTCCCCCTTCAAGCAGTCTCGGAATTACTTCCATGAACACATGGATTAGTGATGATGGCAGTTCTGATCCAAGATCTCTGGGAAGCCAGTTTTTTTTTTCTTGGAATATAATATGAAGAACGTCCCAAAAGTGTAATATTGGGATTTTGGAAAGCTTTTAATACAATGGAGTGGAGGGGAGGAGATGATATGCAATGATTAAGCAAGGGGTACAGCATGAGTAACTGGGGTGAGTTTTTTAGAAGATGTAACGTTGCATGCTCTGGATCCAGTAGCCATTCAGGGAAATGACAGCATACAGGGGACATGACATCCCAGCCACCCACCTGGATCCTCGCAGGCCATCCCCTTGGCATCGTTTGCTGCTGCTCATGGCACTGCCCTGGCACTCCACACAGACACGCCTGTCTCTCGCCAGTTGGCGGCTCCAGAGGTGCAGATGGCAGGACACACTTGCCTGCTTCAGACGGAAGTAGATGCAGTAACTGAAAAACACAGCAAGGCCATGTTCACGTACACAGCCGTAAGACACATTGTACAAAATCACTACAGTCAGACAGCAGGCTCAACTGGCAAGTGCCAACAGAGTTGGTGCCAGCATGGATCCACCAAGAAACAACAGGCCAGAGAATGATGATCGTTCTGCACATGGTCTAAGAAGTGCGTGGAAGGGGCACCCTTCCTTTGATCAGATGCTCCCTACCATGTTGAAGATATATAATCAGCTTATCCTTAGATACCATAGTAGAGCATGGATCCACCAAGAAACAACAGGCCATAGAATGATGATCGTTCTGCGCATGGTCTAAGAAGTGGGTTGAAGGGGCACCCTTCCTTTGATCAGAAGCTCCCTACCATGTTGAAGGTATATAATCAATTTATCCTTAGATACCATAGTAGAAGCAAGTATAGCGGTGCCTCGCAAGACGAATTTAATTTGTTCCACGGTTAATGTTGTCTTGCGAAAAATTCGTCTTGCAAAATGTGTTTTCCCATAGGAATGCATTGAAATCTAATTAATGCATTCCTATGGGCAAAAAAGTCAGAACAAAGTCAAATTTGGTTTACAAAGGGTTTATTCAGTGCTCTTTAAAGCCATCCATATTGTGCAGATGATTTCAGAAATTTCAATCGAAAGACTTTAACTTTTTAAACATCATAGAAAAAACATTTAAAAATCAGCAAACACGAGGCAGGAACAAAAAAACGGAAAACATTCGTCTTGCGAATCCCGGCCATAGGAACATTTCTCTTGCGAGTCATCAACCCCCCATTGCCAAAACCATTTGTCTTGCGAGTTTGTCGTCCTGCGAGGCATTTGTCTTGCGAGGCACCACTGTAATGGCCAAAATCTTATGCTGGTATAAGGGAAATCATGTATATGTGGGTGGTGGTGACTTGTTAACAATGTGCTGGTCATCAGGCACACACCCAAGAATGCAACCAGCAACCTTTGAACAAATGACAATTCCCCGGCAGGACTCACACAATTTCCTCTCAAGGCAAGCATAAATCGTAAACAGGGTTTTGGCCAAAAAGGGCCACAATTTAAGTAGAAACTGTGCTTGTTATTCGCTCTGTTTATAATACAGGCCGTGCATCAAGCCCTGACAGAATGACCAAGACATGTTGGTTCTGCATTTCTAATGGCGTTCTTTACCTAAAGCTTCTCGGTTCTGTGGTTTCCTGTTTATTCCCAAACAGCATTCTTAGAGGTTTAACCTGTGTCCCCACCACCAGAAGCCCAAACACAGCTCTGTGACACTCCTCGAATTTTCTTCTTCACTCCTTTCGTTTTTCTACTTAAAAACCACTGCCACACCTTCTGTGTATGGGGTACTGGAGGCATTTCCCCAGGTTTTGCCCGGGGGAGTGGGGGGGTGGGAAAGGAGTTGATTTAGATTCAAGTTTTGTTTTTAAAAATGAGAAGCAATCGCTAGAGGTGGAACCTTCCGGTTACCCTGAAGGAGAGAAACCCCAGAGACCCTTCCTTTTGTTTTTTCAGAGTCTTTTACGGTTTGCTGAAAGAGAACCTCTGCAATACGAAAGATTCGGGATTCTGAAAGAGTAGTTAATGAAGATTATGGATTTCTTTTGTATTTTCGATTATCCTGCGTCTTTTGGCTCTTTTGTTTCACTGATGTATGAAGGGACTGCACCTCATTTCCATTATTCTTCAGAGTTTGTCGGCCCTCCCTTCGCCTGGTGGACTACGGCCTGCGCTTCCGGACTGAAGCGATCAAAGTGGTAGGAGGGACAGGTATCTCTCCGGTCCCCACCTATTTCCAGGAGGGTTTGATAAAATTCTCCTTCGTGAGCGCGTGTGCCCATCTTGATTGTGATGATGGGTTTCTCTTTCTCAACTGCACTGTTTCTTGCTGATGAATCGATGACGATGATGAAGATAGTGATAGGATGATAAAAGTGTTTTTCAAATAACCTTAATGCCTGTATAGGTCTGTGGATGACAGCTGCTTCTTTTTAATGTACTGTTGTCATTGCCCAGCTTTGGATTCAATGAATGTCTGCTGACTTGCCCCTGCTTTTTTAAAGACTACGTATATTTGAGAATGTTGTAGGGTTCGGTTGGGCCCAGCATCAGAAACCAGGATGGAAAATCTGAACTGTGTACTGTGTACTTTCAGGCTTACCAAAAAGGCCTGTCGCTGAAAGAACCCAAAACCAGAGGAGGACCCCCCCCCAAAAAAAAACCTCCCAAATAGACGTGGGCACAAACTTCCAGTTCAGTGGTTCATGCTAGTTCGTTTACCAGCTGAGCGGAACCCAAAACCAGAGGAGGACCCCCCCCCCAAAAAAAACCCTCCCAAATAGACATGGGCACGAACTTCCAGTTCAGTGGTTCATGTTAGTTCGTTTACCAGCTGAGCAGGTATTCAGCCCTTCCAAGCCCTTCCTCTTTCAAGGATGCCCACTCAGAGGTCATGCCTTGCAGAGGTGGGGCAGGGAAAATGGGATGCCGCCTCTGAGTCGGCCCCCGCCAGAGGAGGCGAGGCTTCTTAAGCACCAAACAGCCATCCGGCCAATAAACAACCCTGCACGAACTGCCGAACCAGCAGTTTTGGCCCATCTCTATTCCAGAACAAAATGAATATTAAATTTTTGCTTCTGCACATGGCTAGTGATCACGCTTGTCATTTTATAAAAGGGGTCTCCTGGACCCAGGACACTCAGAAAAGATACAGTTGTATAAAGAAAGAATTCGGCAAAGAAATTGTTGAACAAAAGTACAGTGGTGCCTTGCATTACGATTGCCCCGTATTACGACGAAACCGCATTACAACAATCTTTCTGCAATCGCAAAACGATTGACTGAATGGTTTTTTTTCACTTTGCGATGATTGGTTCCCTGCTTTGGGAACTGAATCTTCGCAAAACAACGATTTTCCTCCAGCTGATCGGCAGTTTCAAAATGGCCACCGGGTAAATAAAATGGCTCCCCGCTGTTTTCTGGGACAGATTCCTCGCTGCACAGGCACCGAAAATGGCCGCCCTATGGAGGATCTTCACTGGACGGTGTGTTTCCAGCCCATTGGAACGCATTGAAGGGGTTTCAGTGCGTTTCAATGAGCTTTTTATTTTTGCATTACAACATTTTCATTCTACAGCGATTTCACTGGAACGAATTGACGTCGTAATGCAAGGCACCACTGTACCGTATTTTTTCTGTATATAGGATGACCCAAAGTATAAGATGAACCCCCTTTTTCTAACCCCTAATTAGAAAAAGCAGGGATAAAAAAGGGCTCCCTTTTTGCTAAGCCCTGTGCCTTCGCAAAAGGTGGTGGTAAAGATCTGCCTTCCATGTATAAAACAACCCTCATTTTCCCCCTCAAATTATTTAAGGAAAAAGTATTGTCTTATACGTACATGGAAAAATACGGTATATGCGCAGCCAAAGTGCGTATGAAAAACAGGTATCTCTTAAAAGATGGGTACAAAAATCCAAATAAATAACATGAAGAATTGAAACAACAACAACACACAAATGAGTTCAGAAATGAATGAATGGAACTCTGGGGGAAAGGAAAAAAGAGAGAGATGAACAGAAGTCGATGAGTTCACTCCTCCCTAGGTTAAGGGCCCCTAACTCTGCACAGCCAGACATTTAGATGAGCTTTTTTGTAGTTGGATAAACACATTTCTTCCTCGCAGCTTCAGAGCAAAAGCCCAGGAAGAAGCCTTTGTTTGCCAGCTGTCGAGTGTCCCGGCTCCATGAGCAAAGCACGAACATTGACGTCAAGAAGCCTCTTTGTCGTTTCCCAGTAACACCGACGTTCCGACCCCGCTCGGTGCCAAAACCCTGCTTATTTACACCCTAATTAGTCCAGAATCTGCTGGCACGACACGGCGAGAGAACACAGCAGCCAGCGAAAAGCAGCAGAACATCAGCAGGGAGGACACTGCCGTGGACAAACGGTTCTGCGTTCGCCTTGGTTCAGCTCCGTTTCTTTTCCTCCAAGAGAATAAACCTAGGAAAAGTATTGGCACTTCTTGAAAGGAAGCCCTCGATGTGAAGTGGAGCAGGAAGATAAAGCCGGCCTGGCCTTAGATAATCCTTCTTTACAAACAGAAATGGGCGTAGAACGGAGCATGTATTAATAAAACACAGTACGTGGTGCTCTGAGAAAAACAAGGGGCCTTGAAAACATGATGCACAGCCCCCCTGTGCATCTTGTTTTTATTTGAAGGCAGAAATGCGGTGTTTCTGAAGCCAGGTGGCCACTTTTGGCCAGTTCTCATTTCAGTGGAAGGGGTGGGGCAGCCCATGGTGGTCAAGGGGCCCCCATTATTAGCCCGCCTCTGCTAGAGGTACATAGTGTGACCTGTACTTGATACAGTGGTGCCCTGCTAGACGATTACCTCGCAAAACGACAAATCTGCACGACGATGAGTTTTTGCGATCGCTATAGTGCTTCGCAAAACAGTGTTTCCTATGGCGATTTTCGCTATACAATGTTTCGGATCGTGCTTCACAAGACTTTTCTTTCGGGACCGACTTTCGCAAGACGACAATTTTGACAGCTAGGTCCGCAGCTCACAAAACGGGTGTTTTCGGGAACTTTTTTCGCAAGACAGCAATTTTAACAGCTGATTGGCACTTCACAAAACAGTTTCTCTATGGGCGATTTTCGCAAAACGACAATGATTTGTCCCCATTGAAACAGATTTCAATGCATTCCAATGGGGAACTGCATTTCACAAGACGATGTTTTCGCAAAACAGCGATTTTCACCGAACGAATTAACATCGTCTTGCGGGGCACCACTGTACTGTGTGTTTTACACAATGGATAAAAACATAACAAGACGTCATACTCTGAAGTACAGATTTATGGCTGAAAGCAGTGATAAAGATGATGGACTGGAGTGCTCAATGGTTTAGATCTCTGGCTGCAGAGCTAGAGTTTGAGAGTTCAATTCTCCCACGGTGCCTCCTTGACAGGGGCCAGACTCAATGATCCAGAGGGTCCCTTCCAGCTCTGCTGTTCTCAGATGGTGACAATGAAGATTAATCAAAAGGAAGAACTTGGTTTTCTCACAGTCATTTCCCCCAGTCATCTAATTTCTTCTTTGCCAAACAACTGCTTCTAAATCAACCCTTGCAATGGCATTTTTATTTCTTCTGCTGGAGAGTTGGACCAAATTTGTGTCCTGAAGCATGGGGCAGCAGCCAGGCAATGAATGCTTCCACTGTCTGCAAAGGCACATGGTTGCAAAGGCCACCTCTATTGCTGGGCACATGGCTTCCAATCCCCTTTCTTTCCACCACAGTTGGAGGGGGTCAAGTTTCATTTCACCTATCCAGAGAAGGTTAAGATAGCATGCATGCCCTCATTCTTCCCATCTCTTATTTCATTTTTCTTTTTATGTGTTTGTGCTTTTTCTTAGAAATTCCGTTCCCAAATGATCCACTAATAATCTTTTCTTTTTATGTGTTTGTGCTTTTTCTTAGAAATTCCATTCCCAAATAATCCACTAATAATCCTACAGTGGTGCCTCACTAGACGCTGATAATCCGTTCCACTGAAATCGCTGTTTAGCGAAATCATCATCTAACGAAAAGCATTTCCCCATTGGAATGCATTGAAACCTATTTAATGCGTTCCAATGGGGAAGAATTGTCATTGTCTATGTGTTTGTGCTTTTTCTTAGAAATTCCATTCCCAAATAATCCACTAATAATCCTACAGTGGTGCCTCACTAGACGCTGATAATCCGTTCCACTGAAATCGCTGTTTAGCGAAATCATCATCTAACGAAAAGCATTTCCCCATTGGAATGCATTGAAACCTATTTAATGCGTTCCAATGGGGAAGAATTGTCATTGTCTAGCGAAGATCAGCCATAGGAAAGCTGCTTTGCGAACCTCCGATCAGCTGTTTAAATTGCTGTCTTGCGAAGCTTAAGTCCCGAAAACACCTGTTTTGCGAGCGCAGAGGGAGCTGTCAAAATCATCGTCTAGCGAAAATCGGTATGCGAAGCAGGGACCAAACATTGTCCAGTGAAATTCCCCCATAGGAATCACTGTTTTGCGAATCGCCATAGCAATTGCAAAAAGTCAATGTCTAGCGAAAAAACTGTCATGCAGGGTAACTGTCTAGTGAGGCACCACTGTAGTTAAAATTCCATTTGCCCAAGGTGGGGGAGGGGGAATGGGATCAGACAGGATTTTAAGATGAAACAAGACCTTGATTTTCAGTTTAGCCTCTTCTTTGCCTCCTCTATAACCCGATCCAGAGTGATAGATAAGGAAGCAGAACCACAAGTTCTCATTTCTTGATGATAGCTCGATCTTAAGATGAAACAAGACCTTGATTTTCAGTTTAGCCTCTTCTTTGCCTCCTCTATAACCCGATCCAGAGTGATAGATAAGAAAGCAGAACCCCAAGTTCTCATTTCTTGATGATAGTTCCCAGATTCTCCTAGTCAGCAATGTACTGTAGTTCCACTCCAAAACTATTGTTACATTACAATATCACGATATCCCAATAGTATATGTAGAAGAATTTAGTTTGAGGTTCATGTTGGTTGCTTCGCAGACACTGTCCAGCCATCTCATCCTCGGTCGTCCCCTTCTCCTCAGTCGTCTCCCCAGATTCTACTAGTCAGCAATGTAGTTCCACTCCAAAACTATTGTTACATTACAATATCACGATATCCCAATAGTATATGTAGAAGAATTTAGTTTGAAAAATGCTGGAAGAATACTTTTTAGCTTTGAAGCAATTTTTTAAAAAACCAACACTGGACTGAAAGTAAAAAAAGAAGCTGGGATGATTTTTGCATGGATCTTCACCTAATATCTATTCACATTCAAAGCTATTCCACCAGTAAAACAGCGTTCCCCTGGACATGCTAGCTGGGGGATTTTGGTACGGATAATCTAAAAGGCAACTTTTCCATTCTATGAATATTTGTCCACACAGACGTTTGTGCTAGGGATTGCAAAGAACATCAGAAATATCCTATGTGTTCCTCAGAAGCCTCCACTGGATTCGATGTCCACCCATGCCTACCTTGGCAGCCTCTCTGTCATTAACATGTAAGGTCTTCTCCAAGGATCCTTAAAGTCCCTTTTAAAAGAACCAGGCAGAATCTTAGCCACTTCTGTTGAAAAAAAAAAAGCAACATTCTTATTAACTGAATGATAAAAACACACTCCAGTATTCCAATGCATACAATCACAACCGAGAGCAAACTAACAATTATTCAGAAAGACACTCAGTTGACAGCATATAGACAGAACAATGTGCTCTTTTTTCATTGCAGGAAATCCATTAAACTATCCCTAGGAGCGCCATCCATTTATATGATGCTTGGCTGTCAGCTAAGATCTGTGAGACGTACAGTGGTGTCCCACATAGCGAGGTTAATCCGTTCCGGATTAACCATCGCTATAAGAAAACATCGCTAAACGGGATGGAAAATGCCATTGGAACGCATTAAACTTAGTTTAATGCATTCCAATGGCTTCTGTACTCACAGTTAAGTGAAGTTTTCCCCATCCGCAGCCATTTTCACGCCCTCGGTGAGCAAGGGCAGGGCGCGAAAATGCTGCGCGTGGCCATTTTGGGCATCCGGCAGCCATTTTGAAACCACCGAACAGCTGATCTGCGGGCGTCGCAATGCGAGTTTTGCCCATTGCGGCGGTTGGGATGCCTTCGCATTAGCGATCCCAGAAAAGGGATCGCTATGCGAATTCATCGTTATACAGTGTGCTCGTTACGCGAGACACTACTGTATTATACATATTTATGAAAATCAATTGGCTTTTATGTTGACCTGAAAGAAACCTGTTCAACCGATGCTAAGACAATTCACACCCCACTTTCTGTTAAGAACATTGGCATATTTCAATTACGCGCTTTCTTAACATGAAAACACTTGCTCTGATGCCGTGAAATCTTGAGAGATCTAAATCTCTCAAACAATCACTGTTTAATCCTGATGATTAATACCGTCTGGAACCTGGTTGCACAACCCAGCCTTCATGGCAGGAATGATACCACTGGCCATGGCAGATTATTACTGATCGAAGGCTTTCAGGGCACATATGGCTCATATACAATGCAATGACATCACAGGCACCCCAAAATTGCAGAACGAAGGGAAAGACATAATTCCAGCTACTCAGGTCGACTCCACCCAAAAATAGGTGGGTGATTCTATTATAACCACCAACCCCTGGGCAAAGAGCAGGATAGAGTGGACCACTAGAGGTGGACTTCCTACTAGATTGTGCCATCTAGCCAGCCTGCTGCTCGCCTGCTTTCTCAATCCGTCAAGGGTCTTCCCCAACCGTGCCCTCTGTGATCTGTTAAAAACAAACAATTCACTCTGAGGGAAGGAAAGGAGAGTGGACACCAAGGACCGCTTGGGAAAAGACAAGACAAGAAGGTGGCCCCTCCAGCCAAACCTCAAGCTGCAGGAAGCCAGACTATCAGGAAAAATGCCTCGACTGTTAGAGTAGTACGACAAAAGAGGACCTAATGACCTCGAGGAGCCAGACTTAGGATGAATATCAGGAAAAATGCCTTGACTGTTAGAGTAGTACAACAAAAGAGGACCTAATGACTTCGGGGCGGGGGTGAGTGCTCCAAGGCTGGAGGCATTCAAGAGAAAATTGGACAAACATTTGACCAATCTTTTTTGATTTGGATTCCTGCCTAGAGCAGACGGTTGGACTCAAAGGCCTTAGAGGCCCCGTCCAACTCCATTATTCTGTCCAGCTTGACCAAGAGTGAGGAAGGATGTGATTTGTAGTCCCAAACTACTGCAAGCCCTTCAAGTTGGCCCCCTATTGAGAGTGGGTGTTGTAAAGCATAGTTTAAATTATCCTTCCTCTTCCTGGAGACCTCTAGGTATGTTGAATCATGACTCTATTATCCCCATCCATCAAGGCCACTGTCTGATGGGCATCACTGCCCTTTGGGGGTACCAGGTTAAGGATATAAATCCTTCCTTGTCTCATTGTCACTCATGAGAAACAGCAAATCTTGGTCTCTTCTCTGGAAAGATGGTGAAGTTTTGTTCTGAGTCACAGCTGCACAAAATTGGAACAGCGGTTGCTTTCTTGAACAGACTTTTAAAAATTCGAAGCACTGGATTGTTTGCTTGTAACTTTTTCATCCATCAATGCATTCTTCTGTCCTCGTTTTGCACATTTGTATATGAGCAGACATGTGTATACTCATTTCGTTTCACAAAGGGAAACGTCACTGGGGCAGAAAAATGTGCAAAAACTGGGGAAGTATAATACAGAGGAAAAAGCACTGATCTCACTCTTGCTCTGGAGGTGAGAAATTTTACACATCTGTCGGAAAGAAAAGGGAACATTACTGAGATTTCTTAACATTCCTATAAACCGTTCATACTGTAATCTCAACTTGGTCTCTGAATCAACTTTTACCTTGTTGACCACAAATCTACACCACGTTACCTTTGGCTGTCTCACAGACTGGATTATCACCTAGGCACCCTCTCCTCTGCCTGAGGTCCGGACAGGGTGTTCCTCCATTTCGAGGTGGAAGGGTGACCTGCCGCGTCCGTTCTTTGCTGCCAGGGCCACAGAAAGAGCTGCATTCGCTCCATGCTCCCCAGGGACCAACCACACAGTCAACCGCTGCTAGAAATGAGGTAGACCACAACGAGAGGCGAAGAAAAGTCAAAGGAGGTCCCGTTGTCCGACAGCAGAAGAGAGACGTGTGTCAACAGGGGACAAATGAATGATGGTCGAGAGAGGAAGAGAGGTGTGAAGTGGGAGGAGAAAGGGGGTGGGGAAAGGGAAAGAGAGTGGAGGAAAATGATCAGTGATGTTGCACAACTAAGATAGCCATTAACACATCATCAAAACAAAGGCCAGGCATCAACCCCCCTGCCTCGAAAACAAATGACAAAGGAGACACCAATTTGCACAAAATTACACATGTTATAGGCAGAGTTGTCAAATTCAAAATGATTGTCATAAACCAAATTACAACCCATCACACCTGAACATAGGAATTTATGACCTCTACACTTGTTGAGTCTGCTAGCCAAGTGATTCTAACTGAGGATAAGGCATTTTGAAGCCTGCAGTTTCCCTCCTTATAGAAAAGACTCTTGTGCTGTCAATCAGCTCCAGACCGGAGAGCCCTTCAAAGAGAGAAGACCTTCAGACAGATGAGGACTTCCTTCCTAGTCCTTCAAGCAGAGGACTGTCCCCTATAAAAGAGGATACGTGGCCACCACCCCGAATGGATGTCGTTATGCAATGTGTCCCAGGTCTCCTCTTCTTCCCTTCTGCCTTCCTCAGCCCGTGACTCATTCCTGAATCCAATGGACGCCACTCCTAACGAGATGACGTTGGACGTCGGACGACTTCAAGGCAGCCAAAGAGATGCGGGCGGCCTGCCTGGTGAATAAGCCGGTTGTCTCCGTTGGCAAAACATTTTAACTTGCTCTTCTTTCTGTTTCACTGCATCCTGTTGTCTTCTCAGAGCGTTTCCCCCCACTGGGCTGTCTCGCCGGCCCGCTTCAAGAAATCACGTCCCACAGGGTTGATCAAAATCCTGTTCCCACCCAATTTCTCTCCCCACCAGCCTTCCCCATCTCCGCCTGTTGTCAAAACAGTCTCCCCTGCAGAGAGAACATGCCGTCTCCACACGGTTCACAATCAAGAACCTGCCGGTGGTTTCTTTATTTGTTCAAGAGGTTAGACAGCACCGGCCCCTTACTTATACAAAATAAGACGAAATCACAAAATATTCCAACCCCCCCAACTAGAGGCCATTTTAGGGTAAACTCTCTGATTAAGGGAGAAGGAATAATTTCTCCGGCCGTGTTTCATGTGCATTATGTCAGTCCATGGAAGTCTTTCAGATTCCCAGTGGCTTCCATGGTACGGGCTCAGTGGATCACCCATTGGAAGGAAACTTGAAGACCCATTGCAATCAATATCCCCACAGCTTCACGTAGAAAATGGTTTCTATCTGCTTTGACTTGATTTTGACTGGAGTAGCCTGAGTCTAGTGCTATGCCTCTCCAGTTCTCCAGCTAGGGAGAGAAATCTCACAGCAAGCGGTGGCGAAGGAGCAAAGTTGCTTTTTCTCTGAGGTGGATTCTGACACCCAGCCAGCCGCCGTTTCCACATCCCCAGGTCTCAGTGATCCTGCATGAAGGAGTTTTATTTATTAGTTTGTCTGTATTCCACTTGCATCATGGCGATGTACCAAAAAGCCAGGAGAAAGGAGGAGACTGGAGTGAGAGTGAATCGGTACGTCAACTTGGTCTCGCTCATCCTAGTTTCCTGCTCAGAAAGAAAATAAAGCTCCCAGCTAGCACTGGGGCAGGAACAGGAAGCTTGGGCAAAGCTAGGCCTAGCTCAAGTCTTTTCATTTGAGGTTTTTCTCCCAGGCGAGCCAAATTTTAGATGTCTGTAAGGTGTCTCCCAAAATAGAGAATTGTGGGGTTTGTAGTCTGTCGTAAGTACTCACTGGAAGGACAGATCCTGAAACTGAGGCTCCAATACTTTGGCCATCTCATAAGAAGAGAAATCCCCCTGGAAAAGGCCCTGATTTTGGTAAAGAGTGAAGGCAAGAGAAGAGGACGAGATGGTTGGACAGTATCATTGAAGTGACCAACATGACTTTGACCCAACTCTGGGAGGCAGTGGAAGACAGGAGGGCCTGGCGTGCTCTGGTGCACGGGGGTCACGAAGAGTCAGACACAACTAAATGACTAAACAACAAAGAAAGTCCACTTTTTTATTTTAAAAAAATCATATTCCTGCTTCTGTGGGTGTCCTCCTGTGCAGGAGATAGGAATCACAGCAGGCAACCACTGCATTACCGTCACTACTGTGCATGTAGATTGAGATCCTGCCCTTTTACTTTTCTTTTATGCCCCCCCCCCCAATGAAAGCAAATGCCTTAAAGACTATCAATTTTTATTTGGGAAAATCTTTCATAGACTGCGGTCTACTTGACTTCAAAAAGCCCACCCACCGACCCCCCATCTCAAGTTTTCAGAAGCAGGCTGCTGTTGATCTGGCACACTTAGTTTATGAGTGCCTTCACTTCAAAAATTATGTATGGGGTGTGTGTGCGTGCGTGCACACACGCACACACTCACACACACAAAGAACAACTTGAGCAAAGTTTTCCATTATTTCCCCACCAAAGAGGCCCATCTCGGTATAGAACGCAATCCACCAAATTATACTATTTTTAGCCATCAGACTTAATCCTTCTTTCAGAAGAAATCTCACATGTGTCAACATCTGCTTCTGTTCTCCAGGCTGAAAATAACTCTGTGTATCTTTAAGCAGCACGTATTGTCCCGTTCTTCAAGAGCAAACTTGTCCTGCATCACTGACGGATGCCCTGTTGGGTGGGTTCAAAGAGAGCATGGACCATGTTTTCGGTTGGACTGAGAAGGATCAGGACGAGCTTAGTCCTGTCATCAGCTTTTGAGTTCATCAGGACGGGAACAATCCCTTCCCTGAAGGCCATGTAATGAGATTGGCTTTTGGGGAGGTGGGAATGATTGAAGAAGACTCTCATGGGCAGATTTGCACACCAGGAGCAAGGAGATGTAGGAGCTGAACACGGATGTAAATAGGCTCCCCTTGGGTGCAAGTTTTGAATCTCCCGCAAGAGGCGGAGAGAGAGAGTCCTTTGGCCTCAATGCCCACCTTAGGATTTCTGAGGGACCATTATGGTGTCATCGCAAAAGGTCACAAAATGGCCGCCCTAGGGAGTAAGCTACATGGGCAATCTTAGCAAGGCAGGCAAATACCCTCCCCCTTTAACGGAAAAGCAAATCAATGAGGTTATAGTAATGAAACACATTCCCTTTCTTCCATGTGTTTTTTTTTAATCCCAACAAAAGAGAAAGAGGGTGTAGCGGCAGGTCACCGGGACCTTTCCCTTAGTCCCTGTGGCAATGAGAGGAAGGGTTGGCCCATAGATGAAGCTCCTTGATAGGGGAAAAGCTTTTCTCAAACAGGTGCGGAGTGTTGTCACAAGTGAATGATGAATCCTTGTTGACCATTCCCAAAACTGAGGACATTAAGATGTTTGTCTCAACCATTTTCCCCAGATGGTCTTGGACTAAAACTCCCAGAAGCCTTCACTGCTGGCCAGAATTTCTGACAATTGTAGTCCAAGAACATCTGGCAACCCAACCTTGGGAACCTCAACTCTAAGTCATTCAGGAAGATTCTTACCAAAACTGACAGCACTTCTCGTAATTCTTTTGTTCTTGTTCTTAAAAAGTAACTAAAAGTGTTCCTTTTAGCCAGCTTTTAAAACATCAGGACATTGCACGCTGCGGGCCCATAATATCCAACACACCGAAGTTGTGAAGCCATATTCTTTATTAATCAAAAGTAACAAAAATTTGGCTAAAGGTAGTTCCCCCCCCAAAAAAAAACCAGCAAAAAAAGACTCAAAGTGTGTTCTTATGTACTGCCCCATAGCGCTGAAAACACTTCGTGAGCAGTTTACAGTTTAATGATGCAAGCTACACATTGTCCACCTGCACACACACACACTGGGGCTGGGTA